AAAAAAAAACAAAATTTGATTGGGGGACGTCAGCTTCTCTCTTTTCATAAAGAAAAAGAAAGAAAGAAAAAAAAAAGGCAAACCCACTGGATATCCACTTTTACAATATCATTATGTTAATTCTTTTGAACGAAATATGGAGATTCACCACTCAAACTGAAGACCAATTGTGTAAGCACTTCACTGCATCATTGTGTGCTCATGTTTAGGTTTTGATTTCAGGTATTGCTCGTGGACTTTCTTTCGTTGTTCATTTTACACTTTACTTACCTAAGACCATCCATCTGGAACGTCGGATTTCATACCGATATTTTAGCAACAAATCTAATAAATTTAACTACAATCCTCGGTCTATTGATCTTTTTTTTGGAAACGAAATGCGTGTGAATTGTTCGTTTCAAGAATAAGTTTGATCCTACTAGTTTTACTTCTACATAATTTTTTTTAAAAAAAATCATAATGTTTAGTGATTTGTTGATAATTCTATCAATAAAAAAAGAATTTGGGATCATTAACATGGTTAAAACTAAACCATTTGAAGTTTAGATGAAGCATTTTGTTACTACAATTAATACCAAAAAAAAAAAAAAAAGAGATTCATATTAATTAAACCTTACACTACATTTTACACTAATGTAGATTACTTCTATTTATCCTTAAAATTATCACAAAAACATACAAAACTATTTACCTTCTTATAAGCTCTTCGTCTTTACCAAATAAGCTTAAAAAAAAAAGAGGCAAAATTGAAATAGATTTGTATGTATTTCATCAAAGCCCATTGTCCCTCTACGAATAAAACCAAGAGAAGTTAATAACGTAAGGAAATTTGCCCGAAGAACCATCATCTAAGCCCCAACTTCAACAGAACAGAACGAAAAGATTAAGTTGAGGGGTTCAAAGCCACGACCTACTAACCCCCGTGTCCCTCAAGATACTGATTATTTACAGTGACAGTTCCAGCGAATTTTATTATGCATTAACAGCTTTAGATTCAATGAGACAAAACAAATTTAGTTTTCTATTAAGTTGAACAAAACTACAATAATCTGTTGCATTTATTTAAAAATCCAATTATCTCTTTTCACTACTCAAAACACAAAAAATGGAAAGCACTACTGCCCTTATCATATTACTACTTGTTGTTCTTTTAAATTTCACAATGCCAGTCCATTATTTATCAGAACACATCAATGAAGCGTTTACCATGTTA